CATTAAATATATATTTTTTTATTTTTTTAAATATAATAAATCAAGCAAAATTTAGAAAGTAAATTTTACAAACAAAATATGATAAAGGCATACATTAAAAAAATGCGTAAAAAGTTGGTGCGCTACTATTCGTCGATTAATTGTTCTGAGTGATAGTTCTATGACTTTATATTAGCTAAAATAATTATTTCTAAACAAATAATTGTTTCCGAACATATAATTATTTCTAGACAATGTAATAAATAACGCGTGAAAATAAATTAAGGTTCCAAAATGAGAAGTTTTCCATTTTCCGGTATTCGTATAAAATCCCTCTCGATCGGAGAATGAATTTCTAGTTTCAGTTCAGTTGTTAAAGGGTGAGAAGACTAGGGCACCTAAGATATATGGAGAGGCTGAGCCGACACGAGCGAGGTAGAACGCGCGTGTTTAGGAAGCGCGCGCGCGACTAATCAGTGAAAGTGGCGCGTTCGATCATGGCAAGTGGTTGCGGTTATTTTAAGAAGGAATTGCCTGACCCAATTCACACGGGAGATTCCGCCGGCGGACTAATCGCCCGATTAGTATTCGCGATCGCGAAAGCAGCGAAGAAAACCGCCGCCATTCTCGTCCTCCATTAGGATTTTTCTCCAAGTGGATTACGTTCTCCTTCCGCTTTTCATTAGAGCAATACACATTTCCACCACTTGATAATAATTCCTTTATTAAGGTTTGCGGTAGGGCTGGTGATTTGCTTCGAAGATATCGACATTCGAAGCTTCGATACTAAAACCTTCAAAGCTTCGAAGAATCAAAATTATACAATTATTAATTTAATATAATAGTAATAGTACCGCAATTACTATCGAGGTATATCGAGGTACATTTATAAAATTATATGATAAAATCCAAATAAAATGTCTAATGTTGCAATAATTAGCGTTAAATAATTACATATTTTTTGAGCATATATATTAATCAATTCCTTTTATTTACAATATTTTTAGCATTTGGTGAATGAATTCACCATTCGCACAAATATATATTCTTTGAATCTTCCAAGTTAACTTCAAACTTCAAAGCTTCAAATCTTCGAAGTTGTCAAAAGTAATAGTCCTAATTATATTCCGATAAGAAGTTACAATTCTGTATAGAATTTTTTTTTAATGTGAAGAATATTGGATAAATAAAAATTTAAAAAGATCGGATTGTTTTTGAGATATGGTTTTTCTAAACATTTTCTTGAGTGTTAATAAGCTGCTTTGAAGAGATCTCATTTAGGACGAAGGCCTTTAATGGCAAAAACGACCTTGATTCTAAATTACATTCCTTTCATAATATAACGCGGTTATGTCACTCGAGTGGTTTCGATGAGAAAGAAGTACAAGAGAGAGATTGACTCACACTCGCAACTCGGCACCTCTCCCGTCCATTCTCCATCTTTGCCGCACGAATGCCTGGCCTCGCCGTGAAGCAAATAACCAACATCGCAATGATATTCGATAACACTGTGAACGTTGAGATCATAACCCACCACGTAACCTCCTGCAGGCACCTCCGGCTCCTCACACGTGATTACTATATTAAAAAATATATTTATGATTGTATATATATATATATAGCATGAATCAAACATCATATAAAATATTTTCAATAAAAAGAGGCAAAAAATATTTTTTTGTTTTTTTTAAATTATTCTTTGCATAAAAAAAAGTTTTTTCTTTTCTATTAAAATCAATTATTGCATAAAGCTTTAAAAACTTTTAATTAATAATAGTTTGCGCGAGCTTTTTGAGAGAAATTAATTTTTATAAAATAATTCTCTTACACTCGCACGATGGCGTGTCGTGGCTCCACTTGCCCTCTTTGGTGCATTTTTGCTTTCCTTCACCCACCAACCAGTAATCCTCTTGACATGTATAGACGGCTAGACTGCTCACCGTTGTCGTGCCGTTAGTTAGAACGACCGTTCCGAACTCGATCTGGGCCGGAGCCCCGCAATCAACGAATCGGCATTGCGGCGTCTTGCCGGACCATTCGCCCCCGATATTGCACGTAAGAACCTTAATTATCAATCGAAAAATATAGAGATTAAAAACCCGAATTTTTTAAAAGTGAAGGAAGAAACTAAGTAAAAAAGCGATATTTTTGGATAAAAAATTGTTTTTTTTGGTAATTTTAAAAGATAGTGCGAGTTTTCTTCGAACAAAAGATGGGTCAGTAATCAATTTCAATGGATATGGCTGATTTTAAAACAGGTTAATTTTGATTTTTATAATTCAATGGTATTTTTTGATGTTCTTTCACTCAAAAAAGTGGTATTGCAACTACAGCAAAAATTTTCTGGGTGCGCAAAATTAACCGAGGTACATAAATGATTAGCAAATACTGTGATATCGCATATGTTTCGCATTTAATCAATCTAAGTGACAGAGACAGAATTTATATCTGAACTGTTTGTGAAATTTAGAAAGAATGTTTTTCTGTGGCGCCTATCCATGTTAAGGCCAATCATACTTGTTATAAAGTTTGGCTATGGTACACAGAAAAAATTAGCGGCAAGAAACAAATAAATATATAATCCTCACATCTAACATATTTGTATAACGCGCCCAATCTATCCAGCTCTTTTAAACAATTTCTCTCAATTTTTCGATGCTGCAGTTATAATTGGCAGTTATATTTCTCACAAAGAGTGTTCTAGCTGTAGTATCGAAACTCATATTTATCCAATGCAGTGATTAACATTTGGCAATGGGACCTAAATTTTCTAGAAGATATTATTAGAATATTGCTGCTATAACATTTTTTTGAGAGTTATTTTTAAAGTTTCATAAAGTTAAAAGAAAACTTTTTTAAGCATAGTTAAACTGTTATTTTTGTTATTTTGTAGACCAGAAGTGAGAATAACACAGGACATGGAATATGATACCTAATTTTAATAAATTTAACGCTCATTTTTCAAAACTGTGCATCAAAGGTAAATAAATAAACATCAAAATTAGATTTTTGCTATAAATTTTTAAAAATGGACATTCTGAGTAGTTAATGGGATAAAAAACCCATTTTTCGAGGAGTAAACAAACAGTTTTTTTACCGAATTTTTACCCAAAGTTTCTATTTTTTTTACTACTCTCTTACTCTCTAATCGCATATATATAATATCTTATCTCGTTTCTTAATATATATTTATAT